CGGACAAAGGCCGCTGCTTCCAAGGTGAGACAGGCTGCCTGGGACAGCCGTCCTGTGAGCCTGCCTCCCCTATCCGCAGAGCAGTGCCAGGCCTTACAAAGTGTTCATGCCTGACCTGGAAGAGAGCGAGGGGAAGGGGTGGACGGACACAGGACAGCGTGTCCCAAGGTCACTGGGCTGTGGCAGCCCTGGGAGGAAACTTGTGAGGGCGAGGGCATCTGAAATCCTGCCGGGCCCCTCCCACTCGTCCTTTGAGTTCTCAAACTGGAGGAGCCATCAGCCTTGGCTGTCTCAGGGTGGACGATGTGACTGGGAGGGGGTGGCACAGGAGATGAGGTGGCCTCCGTCCGCAGGGTCCCGGTGGCATATGTACAAGCTGCAGAGGGTGAGGGCGGGGCTGGCCCAGGCAGTGAGAGGGTGGCCACAGGCCGGGCTGGCGGCTAGTTTTATATCTGGTCTTGCGGGAGCACGGGGAGGGTCGGAGGACCAAGAAGGAAGCATTCTCTGGAGGGAGGTGGGGGTGGGGAGGGCTCCTCATTCCCGGTTGGTGCCAAAAAGCTGCAGGAAGAAGGTGAAGATATAGATGATATCTAGGTAAATGTTGAGGGCTCCAAAAATATACTCCTCGGGGCTCAGCGAGTGTCTTCGGCTACCCATCAGCAACTGGGTGTCAAATGCCAGGAACTGCGGGGAGAGAGAGAGAGGCAGAGGTCCCGTGAGTCCCTGGCCAGTGTGGCCCTGCTGTCCCACCCAGGCCCACCCTGGGTTTATTACCCTTGCCTGCCAGGCTGCTCAGTGACCCTTCTGTGACAGCTCGGCATCCGGAACTTTCCCAACAACTTTCATCCCTGGTTCTATCCGACACCTTTAGTGAGCACCTACTGTGTGTCAGGTACAGAGATACAGCAGCGAACAGGACAGGCATGATTCCTATCCTCATGGATCGCAATCTCGTGGGAAGTAATGTTTAGTATAACGAGTGTAATGAAAGAGAAAGCGCCCTGCAGTGGAGAGGGTGGGGAGACTGATAAGTAGTGTGACCTAGCTGAGTACGAGGGGCAGTCCAGGAAGGCCTGATGGAGGAGATCTTTGAGCAGAGGGCTAGTCTTCCTGCCATTCCTGCAGGGCCCTGCTCTTGGAGAATAAAGGAATGCGTCAGGCAGGAGCTGGCAGGACAGAGTGCTCAGGTACTTTACAGACATAGCCATTTCGTCCTAACTGGGAGTTTTATTAATCCTGGAAGAGGACGAGGTCCAGAAGTATTAAATATTTGTCTGAGTCACACAGCTGGGAAGTAACATAGCCAGGATTTGAACCTGAGCGGGCTAGCTCCAGAGCGCCCACACATTCTGCTATATGGGCTGCACTGAGGTTAACGCATGTTTCCTCCCAGCAAACAGGCTGCCCGGGGCCCCTTCTCAGCCTAATGTGCTGTGAACAGTTTCCCTCAGAGACAGCCCCCCTGCTGCCTGCCGCCCCCTCCCAGCCTCCCCCTGCCGTCACTCCCACTGCCTCCACCCCCATGGCCTCCACCAGTTCTCCTCTCCAGGCTGAGGAAGCAGAGGCCCAGCAGCTGTGCAATGTGGCGACCTGGTGCCCTTTAGAGGTGAGAATCCACTAGTGTCTCTAAGGTTAGGAACCCTCGTGCACACGGGATGGGACCTCTTTAAATGGATCCCCATTCTTGTTTTCTGGGCTCTGCCCAGTGCAGCCATCACTTGTGTGTGGATGACTTGTGTTCCCAGGATCCTCTGAAATGCGTGACACAATTGGTACATGTGGGGCCACAGCAGTGTGGGCCGGGGACTCTCTGAGAACTGAAGAGAAAATGAGAATACCAAGCCAGGCCTGCCTTGGGAAGCTCATGGCTTATGGGGGGACACTTAGAGGCAGTTAAAGAAAGCTCAGCAAATGCTTTAATTAGAGCTGTAGGGGAGGGAGCCACTGACTGGGCAGGAAGCAGGTGTCTCAGGAGAGGTGACATTTCACCTGGGGCTTGAAGGATGAATAGGACTTTGCTAGCCGAGAAGACCTAGAGGAGTCCTGGAGGCCCAAGGCACATGGGAGGAAGGGGCAGGGATTTAGCAGGGGGGAGCAACGGGCCTGGGCTGTGCTTGTAGGGAGCACTGGCCCAGTTCCCTCTCCTTCACCGCAGCCCCCAGTTCCTTGACTCCCAGGACCCAGACGCTTGAGAGCTGCTTGAGGCGTGGCCCCACGGAATCCTGGGAGAATCCCTGCCTCAGTGCCAATGTTCCTACGCATCAGGGACAAGAGGGCCAGACGGAGCACCCCCAGCATGTGGCACACTGAGACAGGTCATTCTCCACGGGAGAGAAGTGGGGGCGTCGACTCTGAGCACAGGAGGTCAGAATGATTTGCAGTCTGGTCTTCACTCACCACTCGCAGCTATGGGACCCTGAGGAAGGTACTTAATCTCTCTGAGCCTGGGAGTCCCTATCTGTAAACAGGAGATGAGAGCATCCCTCTGGGGTTGTCATGAGGGTGAGATGATGTGTACGAGGCGCCTGGCATGGTGCCTGACACATGGAAAGCGCCTAATGAATAGGAGCTATTAATGTCGGTTTATTGTTATTGTCTGCAGAAGGAGAGGTGCCTCCTGAGAACGTGTATTTACTGCTGATGAGACACAGGAGGCAGAAGTGGTCCTGGGGGATGCTGCGTGTCCTGAACAGAAGGAAAACGGGGAGCCACAGCCTGGGCTGGGGGGCCCTGCACAAGCTCCTGGGCTCACAGCACTGAGGGCAGGGCGCCTGGGTTCAAGTCCTGGCTCCACCCCTCAGTAGCTGAGGCACCCACTTGAGCTCGGTGTCCTCGTCTACAAAACGGCACCGTGGCGTGGTTTTTGAGGGTAAACACATGATGGCGGGTGTCACATCAACTATTCCTCATCTTTAGCATCATCTCACTCCATTCCGTTCTGCTCCTGTGTTTGACTTGGACTCCCAAGTAAATTCCTTCTGCAGAAAGAACGAGCAGCAGAGGGGCCGGCTCAAATGCTACGGGCCGCTTAGCAGTCACGGCTGCCAGCCTAAGTTAATAAACTGCCGATCTGGCTTATCAATCAGCTTCCTTGGTTGATTTCCCAGACTCTGGTCACCCCTGGGTGAGCTAATGAAATTGAATCTCTCAACTAGAAGGCTTGGACCAGGTCTGGGGTGGCCCCTCCAAGGAGCACCCACCCGGAGGCTTTCTAGAGCAGCCAGCTGGCTTTCTCTTGGAGAGAAGAGGAATGAAATGGTTTCTGCCCCTGCCCTTGGCCGATGGCCATGGATGCTTATCTAGGCGGTGTTTATCTGGGATAGCTTGCCCGAATTTCAACCCCACTGCCCCACATTACCCATCACTGCAACCTCATGCCTATGCCTCCACTGAAGGCTTTGCATCCATTTACTCCTCACAGAATCTACTGAGCACCTGCTATGTTGCAGAGAACATGTCCTCACAGAATTGACAGTCAAGGGGCCAGCCGGTGGCGTAGTGGTTTCGGCGCTGGACTCCCACATGGTTGACTGTAGTTCAAGTCCTAGATCTGGTGACTTGAAACTCATGCCAGTCATGTGTGTGTGTGTGCCCAAAATCCCAAGAGAAGAATAAAGGAGAAGGGATTGCGGTGTGGCCATCCCTCCGGGGGAGTGATTTCTTGCTCTCTGTCTCTTTCTCTCCAGTGAGCACATTGCCCTACAGCAAAACAAAACCAAAAACGAAACAAAACAAAAATGCAAAACTCAAAAGAAAAATAAGGAAGAAGAAGAAAAAGAACTGATAGTCAACACGAGCAAAAGACACGATCAGCAATTCTGTACCGAGCCCGAGCATTCATGCGTCACAGGGGAAAGTACTCCACCGCTCTCTGCTCTCTCTGTGGGTGACGGAAAGTGTTGAGAACAGATAGGATCTTACTGGCAGCTAAGATCTTGGTTAACGCTTTAAAGGACAGTGAGGACTTGAGCTAGTAGCAACAGTGGGACTGGGACCCTGGGAGCGAACATCTGAATGGCCCCCTCACAGGCTGAGCGCGTACTGGGATCTTCCGCAAGCTCCTGGAAAATGTGTATCATGAGAAAACTACAGATGGGTTTCTTTCAAAACTTTGCACCGAAATAAACTTGTAATTCCACTTCATTTTTCCAGGAACTTTTTGAATCCCCTTACTACTTCATCTCATCTCACTCTCCCAGACAGAGAAAAAGAGACAGCACCCCTAACATGGTCGTCACACAGCAACCCACACCCAGCTCCAGCCAGCCTGGAGTATGCGTGCACCTGGTGTGCTCAGCAAAGATCCGGGACGCGAACCCAGGACCTGCCCCTATGGGCTGGGTTGTTACTGCTACACCCCCGCCTGGCTCTATCACTATTTTACATACAAGCAGAGAAGACTCAGAGCGGTGAGCAACTGGCTGCCGTCCGCTTATCTCGAGCACCTGCTTCCTACTTTGGGCAGAGGGTGCTTGCAGGGAGGGAGGGGCACACGCAGAGGGCAGAGGAACTGCAGGCTGGGCCTGGCCAGGAATCCTGACCTCACGCTGGGCCTGCCTCTGCTGTGTCCGGGACCCTTGTTGTCCCACCTGAATGTGACCCCAGAGGTGAGACTGAGGGACTCTAGGAGAGACGTGCATGGACAGACCAGCTCAGAGCCACCAATAGGCAGGCCTTGAATACAAACAGCGGCTTCTGCAATGTGTTGAAGCAGCAGAACAAGCATCACGCGGACGGTGCCCATCCCACAGAAATGCCAGGCGGAGCGTGCACACCACAGCCTGACCAGTGAGCCGCTGGGAAGGACTCAGGCTCTGCCAGGAGGGGGACGGTTAAACACACTGGCAGTGGGACTGAAGAGGACACTTCTCTGAAGCATGCTTTTATCAGAAAAACACAAACTGCAAAAAAAAAAAAAAAATCCCTATCACACGATCCCACAAAACCAAATCTGTCATGGGAGCCCATTTAGCAAATATCTATTAACTATTAACTACAGGTAGGCAGTGCCGGGAGGGAGAGCTGACCGCAGTGGTTACCACCGGGGAAGACAGGGCGGGCACCGTCAAAATGACATTTACTGTAGCTACATTATTTCAGATAGTTTTAAAAATGATATATGAATCCACCCCACTTCCAGACGGTTCGGGGGAGGCCTCAGGGAGGTGTTGGGCTGTCCTGTGGCAGAGAGTGGGTGACAGAGCAGAGAAGGACCTTCTTGGACCCTTCTCGCTCATGTAAATCACTGAGGCCAAAAAACCTAAACTCTGAATGAAATAAAGTTAACTCTAACACAAAGCAGACATCGGCCTCGGATTTGCGTCTCCATTTTCACTTTTCAAAGTGTTTTCCCACCTGTAAGGAAGGAGGGTGTGGCCCTCACTAGAGAAGCAGGGAGGAGACAGGGCATCCCTCAGATGCTGTGAGTCTGGCCTAGGCTGGCCATGTTCTGGGGGACACAGCTCTCTGCTGGGGCTAGAGGGACGTAACTGCTGAAGGCAGCCTCCGGCTTACAGATGTTGAGAAGGCCTCTC